AGAAATTGAATGTCTAAAGGAATGGACATTGCACTATCTATGTGTGAATAAAAAATCTCTTCGAGCCTGTATAACTCGAGTGATTAAGTCTAAAAGGGTGATTGAAAATTCGGTACCCTATGGTTATCTGATTTGGGAGTTATCAGCCTAAAACTCACTACATGGGTTACATAGAAAACAAATGAAAAGATGTTTGTTTGAAAAAAAGAAGTCATGAAAAAAAAAAAGCAATTACATTGATTAAGTCCCAGATATTCGATCAACAGGACTACACCTTTAATGAGATGCAAGTAACTTAATTTAATCTTAAAGGTTGAAACATTAAAAAATATAGGAGAATCTCGACTTGTTGAAATGTGAACTTGTAATAGTAAGATCTATCCAAACTGAGAGAGGGTAAGGAAAAGTGTTGAATAATTTCAACTTAGGATGCACCCGGAAAAATTGAGTGAAAATAATAAGTTTAGGGTGTATGCATCTCTCGAGAGAAGTAAGGAGATATTTGACTACTATGGATCAGATGTTGAGCTAATCATGACTTTAATATGTTGGCATGAGTATACACACACGGTCAAGTATGCATGTAACATGTGGAGATTGATTCATTGATTTGGTACTGTAAAGTTGTTCATTTAATTTATTACTAAATTATAATCATGAGACACGGAGGGTTATCGAACTATGTTTTATGTGGAATTAAGTTACAGTTTTATTGGAGTACAAACAATAGTTCAAGTTTGGGAGAGTTGATAAGTAAGTTTTACACACTTATTCGAGACCTAAAATATCGATATTTGGCAATTATTTTGATTAAATATATCCTAAATTTTCATATTTTATGTTATATAGGTTAAACTCAATGGTTGAACATGTAATTGGAAGAAACAAAAGAAAATCAAGGAAAAATGGCAAAGTTCAAAGTTTGAGGACCAAATTGCAAATTCAATAGTTGATTCGGACCACGAGATGATACTTTGAAGATTGATATGAGACAATTTAATGGAATTAGAACTCAAAAAAGAATGGAATATGATTCTCATAATCAATGTCCAATCGCACAAGTTATATTCCAAATTTTTAGTCGAATATTGATACCCATTTTT